CCCCCCCCCCCTGGTACACCTACAAACTAAGGTGTGTGGGAACTAGGGAATTGACAGTTTAATCATGAGTCTAGGATTTCATCACTCACAAATATTATTATCCCAGAATTATTTAATAATAATATTATTGTTTGGTTCAACTGAGATAAATAAAACCTTTTGTGGAGGATAACCTTAATACGCACATCACGTACATACGTTTTTACAATGTTTTTTTTCGTCATGACCCCGGGAAGGTTTATGGACTATCAAAATAAAAAGAATAGTTTTTATTTGAAAGTGCACTTATTCGAATAGAAAAATTTGTCAAAATTTGAGAATTTCTAAAAATGGCCGACTTTCAGAGCAATAGTTTAAATCTAAAGGAATTGAGTCTCTCTAAATCTTTGCAACCAAAGGTAGTATACCTTAGATATTTCAAACTATGAATGCTGTTAAATCAAATAATCCAAGTTTGAAATATCAAAGCATAATATTGGGACTAGAAAACTTTAGTTTGCGTCAACGAGACTCAATTCCTTTATTTACAGGAAAGGGGGCGCGAAGCGAACCATAGTACTAAATATTTACTTAATCAAGCAGTCTTCAAAGATTCATGACCAATAAAATACAAATGCCAAAATTATAATTTATAATTTTCTTCAATTTAACAAAGATATTTGTAAAAAAAGCCTGGTTTAAGGCCTATTGAACTGAAAAAAAACATTTATAAAATTGTATTTCACGAGGAGCTGTTTGACATTAAAAAGGTTGAAAACAAATCAAGTTCTGATAGAAAATCGATATTAGATCTTGACACCAGTATTATTATTCAACAAAGCAAGCAATAAAGAAATACCATTTTCCAATCCTAAAAGCGGAAAATCATTTTGAAATAAAATTTAAATTATTTCTGCACACTGTACAGTGTTGTACAGATGCTGTACAGTGCATCTATGTACAATGTACAGCAGAATATAATGAAGTCTATATATGCAGATAGTAGTGCATAATTGTCTACAATGTACTGCAGAATATAATGAAGTCTATATATGCAGCTAGTAGTGCATAATTGTCTAGCTAGTTATCCCAGCATGATAGAAACCAGTGTTCTATAAATACAGACCTATAGTATATATATATTTATATGTATAAAGTATTCAAAAACAGAATGGACAAATAGGACAGACAGGACAAATAGGACAGAATGGACAAATAGGACAGACAGGACAAATAGGATAGACAGGACAAATAGGGCATACAGGACAAATAGGATAGACAGGACAAATAGGACAGACAGGACAAAAGGACAGACAGGACAAATAGGATAGAATGGACAAATAGGAGAAACAGGACAAAGGACGGATTTTACAGGCACGACAAACAGGACTGGACGGACAAGACAAAGAAGACTGTCTGGACGGACAAAACAGACATACAGGAAAGATAGTTACAGAGAACAGATAGAACAGAGATGACAGATAGAACAGATAGAAAAGATAGAACAGATAGGACAGATAGAACAGATAGAACAGATAGATCAGAGAGGACAGATATAACAGATAGATCAGATGGATCAGATAGAACAGATAGAACAGATAGATCAGATAGGACAGATAGAACAGATAGAACAGATAGATCGGATAGGACATATAGGAAATATAGGACATTTAGAACAGATAGAACAGATAGGACAGATAGAACAGATAGATCAGAGAGGACAGATAGAACAGATAGAACAGATAGATCAGACTGGATAGATAGAACAGAGAAGGCAAATAGAACAGATAGAAAATAAAGAAAAGATAGAATAGATAGAGCAGATAGAATAAAGAAAACAGATAGGACAGATAGAACAGATAGAGGAGATAGGATAGAAAGAACAGATAGGACAGAAAGAGCAGATAAAATTGAGAGAATAGATAGAATAGAGAGAACAGATAAAATAAAGAGAACAGATAGAACAGGTAGGACAGATGGGACAAACAGAAAAATCAGGAAAGACAGGAAGGCAAGGAAAAATAAGCCGAGAAAGACAATCCAGACAACATTGAAAAAACAGACGAGATAAGACAGACATGACAGGTAGGACAGACATGACAGGTAGGACAGACAGATCAGATAAATTAGACAATCCAGACAATATTGATAAAACAGACGAGATAAGACAGACATGACAGGTAGGACAGACAGATCAGATAATTAGACAATCCAGACAACATTGATAAAACAGACGAGATAAGACAGACATGACAGGTAGGACAGACAGATCAGATAGATTAGACAATCCAGACAAAATACCAAACAAGACACAAACCATTAAATTTTGGTTTAGTTTAAACAAAGAGAAGAATAGATTTTTGGAAGATGTTTCCATGTTTCCTATCAAGGTCTGCCCTCAGGGTAGAAGAGAGAAGTCAGTTTTATGAATCCGTCTCTAACGAGGGAGGGGGGACCATGTGGCCATGAACCAAGCAATATCCTGTTCGAACCCAGGTAGTTGGTAGAACCCTGCCCAAACCCCGCTGAATCCTTTTTGACACCAGCAAAAGACTGCTAAAAAAAAACTTTTATTGATAATTGACTTTAAAAAGAAAATTTTTCAAAAATGAAGACTTGGGGAGGTTAGATACTCCTCTTAGCTTAAAAATAAAAATCAACGCTTTAAATCTTTTTTAAGTGTAAAATTTTGTCTTCTTAGATTTAGCAAAAACTTTAGATGGAATGATCACAGTGATGAAGAATAGGTGATATGTAAAATCTTACATATAAATGTATTTTTCAACTTATTATTTATCCTTCATTATGGTAAACCATACATACAAAAATGAGATGAAAGTATATAATTATGATATTTATAATTCTTTTATAATTCATAAAACACTAAAAAAGAATTTAAGAGCATTTATTTTTATTTTTGAAATATTTTCTTCTTTAAATCAATTATCAATAAAAGTTAGTTTTTTGAGCAGTCTTTTGCTGGGATTCCGTGGGGTTTGGGCAGGGTTCTGCTAACTACCTGGGTTCGAACAGGATACTGCTGGGCTCATGGCCGCACGGGTACCCCTAATCCCTCCTTTAACCAAGGATATTCTAATATATGGTGTTACTGGATATATTCTACTACAGGGTGTTACTGGATATATTCTAATACAGGGTGTTACTGTATATATTCTACTACAGGGTGTAGCTGGATATATTCTACTACAGGGTGTTACTGGATATATTCTAATACAGGGTGTTACTGGATATATTCTAATACAGGGTGTTACTGGATATATTCTAATACAGGGTGTTACTGGATATATTATAATACAGGGTGTTCTTGTAAGACAAAGAAGATACCTCACTTCCTCATTGATGTATAGTTTTAGAATAAAATATAATTAAGGAATATTTAATTTTTATAAACAAGGAATAAATTAATAAAGTTCTCTGCAGGGAAGGAATTAATTATCAAACCATCATAATTAAAGAAAACTTTGGGGAAACACAAAATTTATCATATATTACAATAATTAAAATTGTAATATCAACCCATATTATCATAAAGCCATCTAGTAGATCCTTGCCTAGAAAATATCATAGAACTAGCGTATCTGTTTAGCTTAGATTTTTTTAATTAAAAAAATCTTCTAAACTTCAATTATTAAATCTAGTTCAATCAAATATATTATGCTTCTCTTAAAGCCCATGCAAAATTATTACTTCTTTTGAGACAAAAATTAACTTTATGTAATTGTTGCTTTGCTTGTCACATATAACATTTTGGTGTTTTTTTTTTGGTGATTTTTTAGAAATATTTATAATCCTAACTGCAGCCATATACTGTGTCCCTATAAAAAGTTATAGTTGATCGTTTTACTTTTCATGAAACCGAACCAAAAGTGTAAATATGTATTATACCTTCTTGAAATCTATCAATGTATGTGTAGAAACTATAATGTTCTCCATGTTCAGGTTGAAGGCGAAGGAAATAATCCTCCTGAAGACAACGTCAAAGCTGCTCTTGCAAGATTAGCAAGTAACGAGAACCTCAATAGTTCCTATGATCTAGTCCTGGGTCTAGTCCGTAGACCACCTCCACCACACACCTGTAGACACCCTCCACCTTCTCCTCCTCCTCCTCAACCTAGACATCAATGTCCTTGTCATTCACAACATCATCATAGGTAAATTCAGATACTTCAGATGGTGACCACGTTGAGATAGTTAGAATTACTGAAATGATGATATAGTGAATATTTTTAACAGAGGCTTGATATTTCAAACTTAGATTATTTGAGAATTCTAATTGTTCAAAGCTTAAACTGTAAAACAAGCCTGGAAAGTTAGTTGAAAATAGGGAACAAAATATTTGTACAGAAACTTTTACTAAAATTTAACATTCTAGTTTTAACATTGTTGAAATTGCTGCAAGGTTCATGATATGATTAATTATAGTTCAGAATTCAAATTAAGATTCAGTTTCTATCCACGCTATAATTGTGAATTAATTTGAACTTTTTGAACAATTTAAACAATCGGAGTCTATTCCTATGAATATTTTTCAGGTGTTCTGGTTCAAGTTCAAGAAAATCAAGATCAAGACCTTCATCTCCAGGTATTGAAATTTACTGTTTAATTATCATTAGATAGTTCGGTCACTGTAGACAGAGTTATTTTCTAACAGAAAATCTCACCTAACAGCACACAAATCAAAACATTATGCATATTGTTTTATGAAAATTCGAATTATCATTTATTATGAGGGTTTCATCTTAGGCTAACCATTGCCTAGATGCATTCGGTTTCTTCAATTTGGATCCAATAGTATTTTTGTCAATAATTGAACAATCTTTAGACTTATAAAGTTGTCTTTTTATACTTTTTATACTTCGCCCCCTAAAATAATAATTTAAAAAAAGTGCAACATATTTATTTGTAATAGGTCAAATAGTAATCAAATGTCACAGCTTGCTGCGACAAGGTCCAAACTTCAGAATCAGGGCTAGTTTGTGGTCTATAGAGTTCCAGATTAAAAACTTACTTTTACATCAATTTAATATTCCAGGTCCATCATCTAGTCAATCAAGATCCCGTCCCTCTTCACCATTCAACTCCTCTACTAACATTAGCATAAACAATACTAACAGTAATACTCTCACAAAGTCAAGATGGACCTTCGGTAAGAAGGCCAAGCGTTCTGCATCAGCTGAGCGGAGACCACACGTGGAGTTGGGTTGGGGATCAGCTGATCCCAGAAACCGGTTTATATCAAGGGAGAGATACAGTGAGACTGGACGGTACGCGTTGGAACGTGGGCGGGAGAGAGTCCAGGTTGATCGTTTTGTAGGAGAAGGCAGAGAAAATTCTTTAGGAATCATACATTATGGATATTTTTCACATGCCAATATGTTAATAACATGAAGTTCATTTTGTAATCATTTTAAATTCAAGATTCAAAATAATTCAAATTAATCTAATTTCAATTAATTGCTAACATATAACAGTCCGTTTTCCATATTCTAAATCTTAATTATTGTATTACTTCACAAGTTCACACTTATAAGCTTTCCGTGGTTTTAAAGTCTAATGTTATCACTTGAATCATTTCTTAAAAAAAAATTTTCAGACATTTTTATTATTTTTAGTATTTTTTTCAGACATGATCTTCTTTAAACCTAATAATCTTATTAATTTTAAAATTTGTCGCCAAGAATTTTAGAGTCAATTTATTTTTAATTGGTAAAATTTGAGAAAGCTAACGGCATCAATTCTAAATATTCACTATTATTTGATAAATTTAGCTAAATTTTCAGATTTTAATTAATAAATTCTGGCAGTACAAACAATTTGCTAATTCTCTTGAACTTAAAAAAATAATGTATTTGCCATTTAAAAAATATCCGTTGTTAAAAATGTCTTTTAATAAATCTTTTTTTACTCTTTTAAGTCTAAAAGATTTTCATTTCATATCAAATTTTTTTTTCCCAAACAATTTCGCCACATTTTCCAATATAATCCTGCAGTAATAACTTAAAGTGCTATTTTCCAGAAAGACTTCTCTGGATGAATTCTATATATATAAACAAACTTCATATTCATTCACATAACTAAGAACTAAGTGGAGGGGAACTAATGGGGATAGAGTTTGTTTACAATTTACTGTGACGCTATTACAAAAATTGTTGTGTCTGCTGATTACAAATGCTGTTTTTTACAATAAAACTATATAGTCCTGTCCTAATACGTCATAGTAGAATGTATACAACCCTATTTCACCATCTCCTAAGTTCTACACCTATAACTCTTAACTCGACCAAAAATTAATGCTTTGCAGTTGAAAAAATTATAAGAGTTTTTTTCGTCTTTCTAATCCTAATAGGCTATCATGTCTGCTATTTTATCTAAATTTCATTCAATACAAGCTTCCTTAATTGCATTTGATTTGATAAACAAATGAACTATTACATCACACTCTAATATTCTAATCCCTTTATCATTGTAACCGGATGTTGTCAACCTTAGATATTTCAAAATATGAATTCTAACAGATAACATGGTCACAGTTGGAAAGCACAAAGGTTTACACCATCAGGTTGAAAAGATATAGAGATTATAAAAATTTAGATATTTGAGGTTTGTCAAAAACGGGATATAATGAAGAAACAAACATCTAGACCATAATGAATGTGAAGGGAAATGGGAAGATACCGGAAGTAAAGGTTGGGAGTTTAAATGGGAAGGAAGTGTTGATGTTGAGAGCGCGACCAATACAGCTTCTCTCGCTGGTGACCTTTGTCGGCGCGCTACTGCGCTCCGGCGCACTCTTTACAAGATGCCTGGACTCATCAATCAGAGAACAGCTTTCCTAGAGATCATAAAGTAAGTAATAAAAGAAAAGATATTGGTTTGATGAAGCCAGAGCCATTTTAGAACATTGTTTCTGTCATGGTCTGATCACTGTTTGAGGCAAGTTTAATAGATTTTTTCATCTTTAAAGTTTGAAAACTCTTTATATGGGAGGTACATTTGATAGAGTTGTACATGTTTTCCTGGTACAGGGTGTCCCGATAAACATGGGAATTCAGTGACGAATTTGACGTCGTCTTTTTAACAAAAGTCTTCGATTTCGTATAGTGATACCTACTGAGAAAGCTTTAATCTGTAAGAGTTTCGTCTGCTATGTTTACATTTTGTTTGCTTATGTTTTGACTGCATTCAGTTGTACTTAGTAAAACAAGAAAATTGCAGTATACAAACAGAGTAAACTTGTCCGTCTTCACTGTTCATCTTACGGAGAAATTATAAACACATCTTTACAGTCTTTTACCCTTTTCATAAAATAAACTCTAGCAGACATAATAATATTATGGCTTTTGAACTTAGGTATTACAATGCTAATTCATAACAAAGACGATATCGAATTCGTCACTGAATTCCCATGTTTTTTGGGACACCCTGTATCTGAACCATTTTTGAATATTGTTTCTTGCATGGTCTAATTATTTTCCTAAAACTCTAGTTTTCTAAACCAAATCTTTGCAAATTTATGGTGTAAACATTTCAACCTTTGGCTGTTTGATTCGGTTTGAAATAATCTGATCAGGTTCCAAATATGCAAACAAATTGAAATTTCGAGTTTTAGGCAAGTTCCTTCAACGTTTTTTCAGCTATGAAGTTTGAATTACTCTTCTGATATTTACATTTGTAAATGTTTGGTCAATGACGATCTGGAACTCTTAAAATAAATAATTTTGAGATTTGGTTTGGGTTTTTCCCGATAGTAATGACATATTAAACGGTTTTACGAAGGGAGAAACAAGTTTACAACTGAATGCGAGATCACAAACAGATAAACTTTTGAGCAAAAAAAACCCTCAAAAATGTTCAATATCAGTTTTCTCTACTAATAATATGTTGCTGACCAATTCTGCCAATAATAAAATGAATTATGATATTTCATTTTAATCAATTTAACAATTTTCCGTATCAACAAAAACACATTGGATTTAACCAAAGGACTGTAACTAGTATTCGTGCTGTAAAATTACATATAACAATAATTGCATTAATCTTTTTTTACCATTTCAGAATAAAAAGTCCAATTTCCTTCTATATTTTGCTATTTTTTCTGCTACAATTTTTGTTTGGGTTAGTTCTTAAGTTATCTGAAAGACATTGCTGCAAAAGTAATATCTAAAATTTTATTTTCCGGGATGTTGCAACAAATCCTTTAGGGATGATGTAAAGCACTGTTTAGGGATGTTGCTAAATTAGGATTGAGGGATGTTTCAAAAGTACTATTAAGGGATGATGAAAAGTTCTGTTTAGGGATGTTGCAAAAATACTGTTTAAAGATGATGCAAAAATACTTTTTAGGGATGTTGCAAGTGAGATGAAGCTGCTTCTAGACTCTGCAGCTCGTCTAGCTCCACTGCTCCCGGAACGACAGCGGCAGGAGCTGGATATGGCGCGGCGGAAACTTTTGGAAACTTCTAGATCATTCTCCACAGCTCTCAAGGGATACTTTAAAGAACCACAGTAAGTTTATGTTAAAGGGACTGGTATCACTTTTTACAACAACATTGAGTTCAGATTTAAGTTTTCTTTTTTCTATGTTACTAAAATAAAGCAATAGTAGTAGCTTGACAGGTAGGCTTATGTTTTTAACTGTTAGCTGTAGTTTTAAAATTAAAGACACTTGAAATCATTCTTAATCAAATTTTACAAAAATATTATAAAGAATTATCTATAAAAATGTAACCATTATCTTTTTGTCAATATTTGTATTCTTCTAATTTCAGAGCAACCCCAGTCCTTCTGGCGGCAACAGCACTTGTCTACAGAACAGATGAAATCATTCAGTCATTAGAACCATAAACAGCTGTATCCAGTTCCAGGAACCATAAACAGCTGTATCCAGTTCCAGGAACCATAAACAGATGTATCCAGTCATAAGAACCATAACCAGCTGTATCCAGTCATTAAACCATAAATAACTGTATCCAGTCATTTGACCCATAGACAACTGGATCCAGCCATTAGAACCATAAACAGCTGTATCCAGTCATTAAAACCATAAACAACTGTATCCAGCCATTAGAACCATAAACAGCTGTATCCAGCCATTAGAACCATAAATAGATGTATCCAGTCATTAAAACCATAAACAGCTGTATTCAGTCATTAGAACCGTACACAGCTGTATCTAGTGATTAGAACCATGTACAACTGTATCCAGTCATGAGAACCATAAACAGTTGTATCCAGCCGTTAGAACCATAAACATCTGTTTCCAGTCATTAGAACCAAAATCAACTGAATCCAGTCCCTGGAACCATAAATGGATGCATCCAGTCCCTGGAACATTACACAGCTGTATTCAGTCCCTGGAACCATAAACGGCTGTATACAGTATCTGGAACCATAATAAACGGCATCTAGTCCAAGGAATTAGAAACAGCTGTGAGCATTGTATTTAAAATCTTTATTTATCATATATCGTATAACATGAGACAAATTCACACTGTGATTGACAGTGATTTTTTATCAAATAATGAGGAAAGTTAAGTGCACTGTGATCGACAGTTGTATAAATTGAATTTAACAGCTGTGTACATTGGAAAGTAACAAGAGCAAACATAATGTTAACGTTTTTGTTGCTGTTGTAAAACAGCAGCTGTTTTCTGTCGGTAAAACATCTGCTGTTTTTCTGTCGGTAAAACAGCATACTCTCTTGTTGGTAAAAAATAGAGCCTATGTTCTGTTTTTAAAAAGAACGCTGAATTGTTAGCAGCTTGTCAATCTACAGACTGGAGATAACGAGACAATTTAGACCATTTAGACAATTTAGACAATTTAGACAATTTAGACAATTTAGACAATTTAGACAATTTAGACAATTTCAGAAATTATACGAAAACAAATGTTATACACAATAACATACTGGTTAATAGACAATAAATGTTAAGACAGGAGAGTGTTTTAATTATAATAAGATAAGTGAAATTTGAACAAAAAAACAAATATTCAGAGGAACAGCGAGATAGCAATAACACTAGACAACTGGACAGTTAGACAACTATACATTCAGATAAATAGACAGACAACTAGACAGATCGAAACCTACACAACTAGACAAATAGGTAGTTAGACAACTAGACACTATAGACACTTATTTAGCTAAAAAGTTTGACAGACAGACAAATATAGACATGTTGTCTGTAAATTACCTAAATCAACAATATTAACTAGTCAGTAACTCATTTAGTCAAAGTTAAACCCTGTTTGTAAATATATAATTTTAGTTAATGTTTTTTTGTGATTATATAAAGTTTTACAATAAATCTATATATATATATACTTTGCAAGTCTGTTTTTCTGTCTGTCTGACCGTTTGTATCAAATAAACGTCAAAATGGCTGAACCTATCGGCCCCAACTTTTTTGTGGGACCTCACGCGACCCAAGGGAATGATTATGGATGATCATTTTTTCAAAAATTTGCCTCTGACAAATTTCTTTTTTTGAAAATTTTGAAAATCCACGAAATTTTCTTTTTTAAATTCGCGGAACTTTTGTTTGTTTTTGTTTTACAGTGTTTTCAAAGAGAACATGTTAACAATTGAAATAGAAGATGGGGGCGAAGCGCACTAAATGCCTTATATTATATACACGATTTGGTTACTTTTACATTTAACTTGTTGAAAGTTTTTGTGGTATATTCAAATTTAAATTTTCGAAAATTCTAAACGTCTTTACAAAGAAATTGATAACTGGCCTAAAACTCAAATTTTCTAATCTGTATATTTTTGTCTCGGATATCGTAGACCTTTGATATTTCTCACTATTTCATAGGTTTATAGGTTAATGTTTGATATATGATATCTAGTTGAAAATAATATAGAATTTGAGGCAAGTTATCAATACCCTTCTACGAAGCCTGCGCACTCTTTTCTTGAAAATTTTGAGAGATAACATCACTTTTTTCTCTTTTTTTATTGTGTTTTGGTTTTCTTCTATTGGTGTATATCTTTGATATTTCAAACTTATAAGATTTGATTTAACAGAATTCATAGTCTACGACATTGGGTTGCAAAAATATAGGGATTAGAAAATCAAAATTTGTGGCAAAAATTCAATTCCTTACATGATATACACATTACAAATACAATAATACATAGAATCTATCTGTGTATAATGTATATATTTATTTAAACGTAAATCACATGTAACCATAAAAATATTTATTTGAATTATTGTAACACACCCTCTACTATTGATCTGTGTACATATAGGGATATGGATACACTCTATATGTCTGTCTCTGTCTAATTTATCCATCTATCTATCCATCTACATGGTGTAATAAAAAACAGGGAATAAGAGTCCAGTCATTTTTTTGAAGAAACGATTTTCAAAATGAATAGCATTTTTGATATCAACGCAAAAGGAATTGAGTCTTTGCCACCAACTCTGATTTTTTAATACCTATATTTTTGCAGCCCAATGTCGTAGACCTGAGATATTTCAATCTATGAAAAATAATCTAAGTTTGAAATATCAAAGGTTTACACCGTCAGGTTGTACAGATATAGGGATTAGAATATTTGAGTTTGCGACAAAGACTCAATTTCTTTCTGATTCATTAAGTCATGATATTTTTTTTAAGCGTTTCAATTCCAATTTGATGAACACCTATAGTTTTCAACTTAAATGAATTAATAACAATGTTATGCATATACCTAGTCTTTTCTTCATCCCATTTACTGGGTATTTTGAAGCATATATTGTACTTGTAATTGTACTTAATTTTCAGAATCCAATTTAAAATTAGTCTCTTGATATTTCATTGTTATTTTTGGGACACCTTGTATCTATCTATCTATCTATCTATCTATCTTAAAATGTGCAGACTGAATAGTGTATTGTGGACCCCACCCTTGAAATATTATTTATCCATTTAAACCTTCGTAATTACAATTATCATACAAATATCTGAGCTTGGTGTATAAAATATACACATACGATACATCTTATAACAATGTCATGGGGGGTCGGATACTAAACTTCAGGTGGAAGGAGATACTAATAGGGACTGTAGAGTGTAGACTGTAGAGTGTAGACTGTAGAGTGTAGACTGTAGACTGTAGACTGTAGACTGTAGGCTGTAGACTGTAGACTGTAGACTGTAGACTGTAGACTGTAAACTGTAGACTGTAAACTGTAGACTGTAGACTGTAGAGTGTAGAATGTAGACTGTAAAATTTTAAGAGCGGCATGCCAGATTCACAATAGTGCCTTATAAACCTTTTTTTGAAAAAACATCTTTGCTTTTCTATTTTAAAATTTACAATTTTCTATTGAAGTTTTTTTTTAATTTAACTTCCGGGTTCAGGCAGTTTTTCTTTTTTAGAACAGAAATGCCGCAATTTTTAATCTATCTGGTCAACTAAAGGGCCGGGGGGGGGGATTCTACGGCAAAGAAACGTTTCTTGAGGTTTCCTCAAAAATGTTAAAGAACACAAATCATTTTGTTAAAAACAAGGAAAATATGATAAATATTGATTAGATTTAATTTAACCCTCGACAGCAATATTATAAAAATGCAAACTTCATAATTGAACACATTTCATTTTGAAGTCATATATTTTAATCAAAGCTCATTAGGCTGCAAAAAGATAAAAAAAAACTTCTAAAAAAAACTTTTTATTCATTCCGTCGTAAAATATGAATGTAATTCAATTGTGGAAAAGTCGAATCCAGACGCACTCCATGGTAAATTAGGGGACTATGGAACCCATTTTTTACTTTATGCTGATCTATATGTTTAAGTATATGTTTAAGTACATAAAATCTATAACGTTCTTTTTGACAGATTTTGAAATAGAGATCAAAATATGACTTAAATTAAAATCAAAAAAGACAAAATTGTACTTTACTTTGTTGTAGTTTTACGTGATGTTAGGTGCTTTCCCAAAGGCATTTTCCCAAGCGACTACTTTCCACGGACATTCTTCCAAGTGGCAATATTCCAAACTGCAAATTCCCAAGTTTGTTCTAGTCGCAGCGCTCGCCTCTCCTTATTCACAGCGCTCGGACCCCTAGTCCATCCTTGCCGCAGCGCTCGGCCTACCATTGCAGCCTGCGGCGCCTCAGAAGGCTTATCTAACCTTTGGGATGTTGCCGCTTAGGAAATTGCACATTTGGGAAGTTGGCACTTGGGAAAATGTCACTTTGGAAGTTGCCCTTGGAGAAAGGTCTTTGGGAAATTACCTAACACCGTGACTTGGATATTGCTGACGGTCAGGGACGGAGACCCGCCAATAGAAGAACTAAGTGAACCTCGATTTATTGGACTAAACCCAATTTTAACAGAATGTTCTATAGATCGATCGGCATAAAAAAACCAGCAAAATCTTCAACTAGAAAAATTCTGAAGCATGTGAACTAATCGAATATTTCTCTTTTAAAATTGCTTGTTTGTTAATTTAAAGTCTGTCCATGTTCTGGAACCAGCAGGATCTAATGGGACATAAAATATACTCTCTGAGATTTCCTCTGTTCTTTCACTTTGAACTGAAAGATAATGAACCGATTATTATATGTAAGTAGTAATATTATACTTTCTTTAGAGGCATTAGTAGTACATTTATACAGTTGTAAACATTAGTAGTACATTTATACAGTTGTAAACATTAGCAGTACATTTATACAGTTGTAAACATTAGAAGTACTAAGGAGCTTTGTTTGAAATGTTTAAGAAAGTGTATTAAGCAGATTTGAGTTGGTTTGATTGTTTTTAATCATCTAACAAAACATTATAGATAATATTCTGATATGGCCTGGATATACTTTGCTGTATTTGGTTTTGCGTCAATATTTTTGATAACTTACTCTGTGACATAAAGTTCTACTAGGGAGCACAGGCCTAGAGAGTAATTGGGATTCATAATCATTAATGCTTAAAAAAGTTCATAGGATCGATACCTTTGTGATTCAAGGAAATGGCTCTCAATTAACATTACTTTAATATACTTTGTAATGTTGGTACTACAACAGTCTATGTATGAGCATTACCCATTACCAACAGAGTTCTTGAATTTTTATTTACCCAATATTCTGATAATTTTGTCGAAATTCGGTGAAATATAGAAACATACTATATGGTCCTCCCCCCTGAAAGAGACCCTCCCCTATTTCGTTTAGGCCGGAACCCCCTGGTGTTAAGGTTAGGGTTTAGTTTACAAAGTAGATTGTTAGAATGGTAGAGGGTCTACCCCCAGGAGAGAGAGAGGCGGGATGGAGGGGAGGGGGAGGAGCATACTTCAGCTCTGAGAAAATACATAAAAAAAACGGCTTCAAAGATTCCTGTTCGTGTACAACAATGTTGATACACTTATTTAAACTAGTCTAGAAATGAGATCAAATAATAGTTTATGGACAAAACTTTTTTCTAAGAGCTCTTAAAAAATAATAAACATAAAGAAAGTTATCTGAAAAAGTCCTAAAATTCGGCACAAAAAAATCCTGTGGAAAATGAAGATAAAATGTATCACAATTACAATTATTACTGAAACGTACTCAAAAATTAAGTCATATTTTGGATAAAAAGGTATTTTTTAGCACGGAAAAAAAGTTTATTTTGAAAATAAAATAATCTTGATAATATTTTAGGGGAAAAGGAAATTTCTTACATGAATTCTGATACAGGTGTTGAAAGACCTGCTAATATATATAATTTTAAGAAGAATGAATCATTTTGAAAAATTGAATAAGGCTAATTAAGCTTGCATGGAGATAATCTAATATGCCCCTCCCGTGCTCGCCCTCTAGATAAATCTTTTATATGTTATTTTGGATAAAATGTATATTTGTTTACTAATGAAGAATTCATGAGTGTATGATTGGGTTAGGTGTATCTGGGAACCAAAATTGGAGTTCGGTTTAAAAATGTGAAACTTTGTTGCTGCGGGAATGCATGCAGGATACTTGTGTCACAGGGTGCAGTGTTCTGAAAATATTTAATGTTTTATTTTTTAAAATATGATTTAACATTTGGGAGTGGGACCCATTTTAAAGCAGTTGGTTGACAATTATAACTAAAATTATTTTCTATTTTTTTATATATCTGCTTGTATTCTGTAAATGAAGAGTCAGTCTGATGTGTATGCTTTCCACTATCTATATCACACTCTACTAGACATATGGAGAAGGCCAAATTTTTGCGACATTACTTTTGAACAGGAACTATACAAATCAATGGTTTTGTCCCCACTGTATAGTTTATCTTGTCAAAGAATGCATGCATTAATGATTTCATGCACTGCTGTACAGAAAAATAATGTACAGTTTGGTCTTGGTGTTCATGTACATATTTGATGTGCATTTAAAAAATTTCATGTACACTACATAGATTTCATGTACACCGCATAGATTTCATTATCAGAAAATCGAATTGGATCGAACTGGATCTATTTAAACCATGACTGTACCCCCCCCCCCCCCTCCAAGGCTGAGGGTTTGTTTATATCTAAGTGTGACGTGTTAGGAAATCTAAAAACTAGTTTGATTATTCTAAATAAATCACAGGAAGAGTCTTAACATTTAATCCAGTCTTCTTAGCATTCCTGAGAAATTTTGGCCCTTTGTTTACAACCTTTGTTATTGTTTTGATCAAACTAGTTCAATGTGTCAAAGTAAAATTTGTAAACAAACCCTATACCCCCTTCATAATTTTTTCTCACTTTGACCCATCTATCCATCCACCTTCCATCCATCATTCTTCCTTGTCCTAACTTCATTTCATATCTCACGCTTAAATGCAACAAGGCTGCAGCACTAACAAAAAGATATTAGTTGGACTATTTAGGAGTAGAAACAGATATTAGTTGGCATTAGTAGTACATTTATACAGTTGTAAACATTAGTAGTACATTTATACAGTTGTAAACATTAGTAGTACATTTATACAGTTGTAAACATTAGCAGTACATTTATACAGTTGTAAACATTACAAGTACATTTATACAGTTGTGAACATTAGCAGTACATTTATACAATTGTAAACATTACAAGAATATTTATACAGTTGTAAACATTACCAGTACATTTATACAGTTGTAAACATTACAAGTACATTTATACAGTTGTAAACATTAGCAGTTGTAGATATTAGTAGTACATATAGTCTTGTAAAAACAGTTGTAAACATTTGCAGTACATTATTCTTATTTATACAGTTGTACACATTTGCTGTACGTTTAATCTTATTTATATTGTTGTAGACATTAGCAATACATTTTGTCTTGTTAAAACAGTTGTAAAAATTTGCAGTACATTATCCTTATTTATGCTGATGTAAACATTAATAGTATACAGATTCTTATTCATACAGATGTAAATATTTTACATTTAAATAAATTGTTGTTTATGATTAAAAAACATGCATCACCATTTACTACTTGAATATTCGTATAAAATGTCTATATAAAAGCCTGGATGCACCCCTGGTAGATATTTAATTATCTCATTAATGAGTTAATATTCACGAGAAGTAAAGAAAAGATTGGCAGAGTAAACCTAAGTACACAACACTTCCTTCTACAATCTCTCTCCATTATATTCTCATCAGTTTTAACACTGTGTCCCTTCACATACACTCTACAGTGGTTGAAGGATAGATGGAAGGATGGATAGATGGATAGATGATTAGATAGATAGATAGCTGGATAGATGGATAGATGGATAGATGGATAGATGGATAGATAGATAAATAGATAGATATATAGAAGAGATACAGGATGAATGGGATCTGGGTGTGAAAGCAGTCTGTCTAGCCTGCACCGTGGACACCAGCACAGGTCAGACCCCATTCTTGGCCATGCACGGACAGGAAGCTACACTTGGAATTGGATATATCCCGTACCTAATGCTGACAGGGAAATGGAGTTATCAGACTGGACTGAAGGTTCCAGAGGGCTTCTGCTGGTATGAGAGAGATACAACAAGCCACAGTACGCCAGAATTCTCAATACTACAAAACGATCATGTCCAGGTTTGAAGATGAGTGGGTCTCGATTTTTGAACTGAAGATTGTACCTGGAAGCTGTGGCAAGTTAAGATCATATTGGGCTGGACCGTACAAGATTATCAGGAAATATTTCCAGCTCTAGGGGAAGTAATGGAAGTGTACGAGAGAGGAAAACCCAGAACGGTCAGCATAGATGTATTGAAAGAATTCAGAGTGAAACTGAATTGTACCAGGATAGATACATGTTTGAGAAACCGTTATGGAGTAGGGCATTTACTACATTTATAAAAGCGTACAATGTTTGAGACGTAAACATATCGAGATGTACACAACCGACCACCCTATTAATTGATTAATAGGGTAAGCTTTACCTTTTCGTTTCCTTTCTCTTTGGATAGAAAGATAGATAGATAGATAGATAGATAGATAGACACTAAGAATTATAATATTATTTCAGAGGTGTACGCATTTTTAGTACTGCAGTGTACTGTGTCTGAACTTAAAGTAAACACAAGACGGATGTCACAGCCTTCTTTCACATAAAAAATTAATGAAATTTTCTAGTCATAGGAAACTATTATGTGAAATATCAAAATTTTCAAAATCAAATGCTTTTATCCTCCTCGGATACTATAAAAACACTGAGACATCTCTTCTTGTTTACAAACACCGCCCAAAGCGAACTGGTTTAAATATTTACGCAGAGAATACGCAAAAGCATGAAACTTTCCTTGCCTTGGATAGATATTGAGGTCTGATCAAGGAGTATGAAATAGAAGGGAGATAAAACTGCAGACGCGGCAAGACAGTACTTCTATATATAAATTTGGCTTGTCTGTCTGTTTGTTTGTTTGTCTGTTGGTTTGTATCCAATAAACGTCAAAACGGCTGAACCGATCGGGCCCAAATGATCAAAATTTAAAATATTTGTCTCCATCAAAATTCGATCTTTATTAAATTTTTGAAAATTTTGAAAATCCACGAAATTTTTTGTGAAAATCCGCGAATTATTTTTGTTTTGTTTTACGATGTACACAAAGAGAACATGTTCACAATTAATAAATTTAGAAGATGGGCGCGAAGCGCCCTCTAAGGCTAGTCATTTAAATAAGAAATATTTGTCTTATGTACAATTACCGCGTATACAATGACCTACATTCTGAATATTTCATACACAAATGGAGTACCCGTCTGCAAAGCATGTATACTCCTATGTGGTAGGGGGGCCGCGTCAGTTATATCTCCCTTCTATTTCATACTCCATGGATCTGATCTATCAATATTGGTTAACAATATTTTAAACCCTTATCAATATTTTACTTCCTCATAGGTTTGCTATCTATTCATATCTACACCTTAGTCTTCTTTGTTTTATATTACTTAAAATATATTTATATATTTTTATAAAAAATCTTAAATTAACGGGATGCGCTATTATAGTTTTATGGATCTATAAGCGTTAAAGTGTTGAAGTGTTGAAGTGTTGAAGTGTTAAAGTATTGAAGTGTTGAAGTGTTAAAGTGTTGAAGTGTCAAAGTATGGAAGTGTTGAAGTGTTGAAGTGTTGAAGTGTTGAAGTGTTGAAGTGTTGAATTGTTGAATTGTTGAAGTGTTGAAGTGTAGAAGTGTAGAAGTGTAGAAGTATAGAAGTGTAGAAGTGTAGAAGTGTTGAAGTGTTGAAGTGTAGAAGTGTAGAAGTGTTGAAGTGTTGAAGTGTTGAAGTGTTGAAGTGTTAAAGTATTGAAGTGTTGAAGTGTTAAAGTGTTGAAGTGTTAAAGTATTGAAGTGTTGAAGTGTTAAAGTATTGAAGTGTTAAAGTGTTGAAGTGTTGAAGTGTTAAAGTGTTGAAGTGTTAAAGTATTGAAGTGTTGAAGTGTTAAAGTGTTGAAGTGTTAAAGTATTAAAGTATTGACCGAACCTTTGATCGGAAGTTTTAAATTTTGAGTTCCTTCAGAAAACTGCAATCCGAAAATTTTGTAAACATTTTCATCGTACCATAGTACAATCGAAATAATTTTACAATTTGGAACGTTTTGTTTAAAAATATTAACATAACGTTAGGGAATTCTCACAGATATTAATATTACTTGTTCATAATTTCCAAATGCTATTGGTAAATTAGATATTAAAACAATCAGTGTAAACTCCGGTAAAATTCAAGTACCGGGTCGATTTTTAGTCAGCTAGAGCAAGCCATATAGTAAACTGTACAATACAATACAGTCAAGTCGAGACTGTGCGGCATATGAAAGATCCCCTTCTGGTGAAATTTAACTGGAAGGAAACTAACGTCGTCCAACGCAAATGAGTACTTTTACTTAATCTATAGTTCTAACCTCGGCTATGTCCATCTTTGGTTTCTTGAAACACTCCCTTGATTAAAACTTATTAGATGAAACCATATTATAGATGAAACCATGTACCCAGAGATTTATTATTTTCCTTCTAATCCTTCAAACCAACCTATCCATTCAGAATCAAATACAGTAAGTTCATTTTTAAAATAAAGCAAACAAAGACAGTTTTAATATTACAAGCCCTTTTGACCATGCTATACAGTGAAGGGTTTCAGCTCTTGTTTAAAGAGTCAGTAGACGGTAGCCTGTAAACTTGGTTTTAATATCACAATTCAAAAATTCAGAATGTTATGCTGATTATTCCTTTGTTCTACACCTCCCTGGTCCTATATCAATCCCCCTCTTCATCGTTCTACACCTTCCTGGTTCTATATCTATTCTCTCTCCATAGTTCTACACCTCCCTGTCCTATATCCATTCTCTCTCCATAGTTCTACACCTCCCTGGTCCTATATCCATTCTCTCTCCTAAGTTCTACACATAGAGAATAGAATATATAGAGAGGAATTTACTACAAAAAAGTGTAAAACGGCCATTTTGTTGTACTGTTTCCATACTGCAGGTGTACTTCACATATTTATGCTATATAACCTGTTGGGCCCTGGAATATCATTTTATAGAAAATCTAAAATTATTGTTAAAAGAAAACCAAATTATGAAATAGGCTGGTTTCATAATTGACCAATGATCATTTCACATAGACTCTATGCCTTCCACTTTACAAACGATGATTTTCCGTTATAACTATAAATCAAATGATGTTTTTATTCACCTAATTCATTATAAAGTTTATTTAACAGTTTAAAAAATTCGAAATTGAAATGGATAGTCTAGGGAACATACTGTATTAATGTACTCTACTGCATATAATTTGTGAACATTTACATGATTTGTACACTTTGAACTCCCTTTCAGGCTGAAAGGGACTGAAAAAATTCATACCGAGAGATGAGATTCTTTTAATTCCTTTCTATATATTCTATTCTCTATGGTTCTACACCTCCCTGTCCTATATCCATTCTCTCTCCACAGTTCTACACCTCCCTGGTCCTATATATATTCTCTCTCCTTAGTTCTACATCTCCCTGTTCCTATATCTATTCTCTCTCCATAGTTCTAAATCTCCCTGTCCTATATCCATTCTCTCTCTTTAGTTCTACACCTCCCTGGTCCTATATCTATTCTTTCTCCATAGTTCTACATCTCCCTGTCCTATATCCATTCTCTATCCATAGTTCTACACCTCCCTGTCCAATATATATCCTCTCTACATAATTCTACATCTCCCTGTCCAATATCCATTCTCTCTCCATAATTCTACACCTCCCTGGTCCTATATCCATCCTTCTCCTTTCTTCTACATCTCCCTGTCCTATATCCATCCTTCTCCTTTGTTCTACATCTCCCTGTCCTTTATCTATTCTCCCTCCATGATTCTACATCTCCCTGTCCAATATCCATCCTTCTCCTTTGTTCTACATGTCCCTGTCCTATATCCATCCTTCTCATTTGTTCTATATCTCCCTGTCCTATATCCATCCTTCTCCTTTGTTCTACATCTCCCTGTCCTATATCTATTCTCTCTCCATAATTCTACATCTCCCTGTCCAATATTCATCCTTCTCCTTTGTTCTACATCTCCTTGTCCTATATCCATCCTTCTCCTTTGTTCTACATCTCCCTGTCCTATATCTATTCTCTCTCCATAATTCTACATCTCCCTGTCCTATATCCATCCTTCTCCTTTGTTCTACATCTCCCTGTCCTATATCTATTCTCTCTCCATAATTCTACATCTCCCTGTCCTATATCCATCCTTCTCCTTTGTTCTACATCTCCCTGTCCTATATCTATTCTCTCTCCATAANTCCCTGGTCCTATATCCATCCTTCTCCTTGGTTCTACACCTCCCTGGTCCTATATCCATCCTTCTCCTTGGTTCTACACCTCCCTGGTCCTATATATAGTAAATGCCGTACTCTCTTAAAACTTGTCTCTAAACTGTATCAGTCCAGGTACAACCTGTCCGCTGTCAAAGTGAAAACAGGACACAATTCCCTAGACTGCCATCTTGTGAAATATCAATGCAACTATCAATGGGCTCGATCTCAGTAGCTATCCGATAAGCTGTTACTTGGGCTCTAAATGCCACACAGGGACACAAGCGTAGCTATCAAGCATATCTATATATATACACATGTATACATGTATAACCTGGGTATATAGAGCAAAGGTTGAAAGTTACCTAATTAAATAAGATTATAAAAGTGTAATTGTACAAGCACTGATTATATTAGAAGAGATATATATGCAAACTATGGATTGTAAACCAAGGGTTATAAACAGTGATTATAAACTAGGGACTGTATACCAGGAATTATAAACTAGGGAATGTATACCAGGAATTATAAACTAGGGACTGTATACCAGGAATTATAAACTAGGGAATGTTTACCAGGAATTATAAACTAGGGAATGTATACCAGGAATTATAAACTAGGGACTGTATACCAGGAATTATAAACTAGGGACTGTATACCAGGAATTATAAACTAGGTTTGTAAACTAGGTATTATTAACTATTGGGATTGTAAACTAGGAATTATAAACTGGGTTTGTAAACTAAGAATTATAAACTAGGTATTATCAACTATTGGGATTTTAAACTAGGAATTATAAACTAGGGATTATAAACTATAGGTAATAAACTATGGATCATTCACTAGGGATTATGAACTAGGTTGTAAACTATGAATTTTCAGCTAGGGATTGTAAAGTAGGTTGTAAAATATGGACTATATACTAGGGATTATAAACTATAATGGGTTATAAAAAATTTGGCGAAAAATTATGCAAATTGTGATGTATAATCAAAAGTGCATATTGTGTGGATTGATTTCTACGAAATGTTCATGCACATGCAAAGAAATTAAGTCTTTGAGAGCCGGCCACAAACTCTGATTTTCATCTTTGCAACACAAAATCATAGACCTTAGATATTTAAGACTGAAAGGTGTACATTTAAAAAGATTCTCACCTTCCATTTCTTTTCTAATTTATGTTTATCTGAAAATTTTCCTAAATCATAGACATACACAGGAGGAAGAAGTTTGCATTGACCAAAGATCGACCCTTTATTAAAAAATTTCCCAAAAAGTCCAAGAGATAACTGCAAACCAAGATGTGCAAGCTCTCAAAACAAAAATCAATTGCCAAAATATGTCTAATCATTTGGAAGAGAGTGGAAGGAAGCTTATTTAAGATATTTTAGGCCCAAGCCAAGGAAAAATCCGAACAAATCAAGAAAAAATTCCTCTCATGTATACAGGTGTCCAAATTAAGTGATAAAGATATTTAAAGGAAGCATGACGAACATACGAAACTAAAAAGTGAAAATAGGGTAATAAGCTCTGCTAAGTATCTCCAAATGTATTGATCAGCTGTTCCTTTCCTTAGTGACTGAAACCTCAAAATCAAGCAACTTAAATAGCTGATGTCATAAAAAACTAGATAAAGATAACAGTATAATCCCTGCCCTGCCAACCCTGAAGAGAAGCATCAGTAAAGAGGAGAAGTATATGGACTCAAATAAGAACCTTTGTAGAGTTTAGAAGGTTAATAGAGTCTATGTGTCTACTGTCCAGTTAGCTACTAAATCCGATGTTTTTGCATGGACTAGTTTCATGAAAACCAATATTAGGTAACATGAATTTACAAGATTTTACAAAATGCTAGTGGAAACCTTTTTTATGTACACCCTTCATGAAGTCTGAGTCCTAATTTAAATAATTTTAGCAGCGTCTCAAATACGCCAAAAACCGGTTTCAATTAAGCGCCGGCGTAAATCTTGAAACATTGAATACAATTTTAAGTGGAACCACATAATTTGAGCCAAGTCTCAAATTTAAGCCACGGCTAAAATTCTTTAAATTCTGCCTCTGTATCATGATCAAATAATTTAAGTTAAAATATCAAAGGTGTACGCCATCAGATTGCACAAATATAGGGATTAGAAAATTGAGTTTGTGGCAAAGACTCAATTTCAAATTGGTTATAAATTTTCTAATTGTGGACTATTATGATGCTTATATGCTAAGATGTGAACTAAATGTAAAGCATGAAGTATTATTTGTATTGAGAGAAGTGAGAAAGGATAATTAATATATATTGAGAGCTGTAGCATGTTGTGGAGAAAAAGTTTATTATTCTGTAAGCAACGCCAGGAAATGGTCAACATCAAGTAAATAGAAACCAGAAATAGAATTATCGAAGAAGTTTGAAGTTTTTGCAAAAAAAGGAAAAGCTGTCTCCTAGATTTAGCTTAATAGAAAGAGGAATGAATAATGCTAGTCTTTTTTATCGAGCTATTAATTATTAAATGTGATTAAGACAGATCTTGGAGAGTATAAATGGGAAGGGACATTTTCTGGAATCAACGATGGACAAACTGCTTGAAACAAGAAAAACTTTAGATGCAGGTTACAAGAAACATTGCTTAAATAAGGATATATTTTAACTTAACACCGTTAAGACATGGGAACAGCTGAACGAAGCGCTGTACGAATAGGATTGTGTAACTCAGACTCCTGTGACTGTTTTTCAGGTAGTTTTCCTTAAAGGGATTATATTGCGTAATTTTAAATGCCCTTAAATTCAAAGATTGTTGTTTTAATAGATTTAAAAGTGTTTAAGATAAATCCTAAGTGTTTCCCTGTAGAAAAATGCTGAAGTCACGTTTGTAGAGAAACCACATGATAGAAAATAATCCATTTTCAAAATTATAACTATTTTTATCTAATTCATACTTGAGCAGACGAGGCTGTGAACGGATGTGAATTGGGCATTGCAATTTTTGCATGGAGGGTCTTCTGAAATTACGACTACAGTTCTCTTATCTAATTAGCTGATGTTTAAGGTGTACTCTTCTGCACGTGCTCTCTGTCAAAACCGGTTCTTCAGCTGAGTTCACAAATCTTCGGGAACTTTCTACCATCCATAGACACGGTGAGGATTATGTAGGAAACCATCATGGTTTTTAATCTTATCTACTCTTTTTCATTAGTTCTTATTCTCTCAATAAATTATTTGGTAACCCTTTGTGATTATCTTGCCTATAGTAGTTATCAATTTAGTTTTACACATATTGATTGTTATTAAAAAGACAATGAAATGCACAAATTATTTAAGAAAAGTAATTAATACTGGAATTTGAAAGGAAATTGTATAATTATCATAAATGCTCGGAATAAATATAAAGATTCTGTGGCATTCACCAACCAGCATTTTCGTCAGCTTTATATACTTATTGAAAGGATTTTTTATTATATTCTTCAAAGAAAGATTACATTGGCTCAGAAAAATTTAAAATAATTTCGTCTTTATTTTTTATTTTGCTAGAAAAGGAAAGAAGTAAATAATAAATAGTGTATTCCAAATGTATTACTTAGTGTTTAATTTAACATCCACTTCATTTCTTTCTTGAGCTCATTACAGTTTACAGTTTACAGTTTACAGTTTACAGTTTACAGTTTACAGTTTACAGTTTACAGTTTACAGTTTACAGTTTACAGTTAACAGTTTACAATTTACAGTTTACCATTTAACAGTAAACGCACGTTGTACTTTTCCATGTTCTCATTTTATTCTGTGGTTTGTGAGCGAAAGAGCGTAAAAGATAAAAATAACAAATTAATATGTTTCTTATGTTATTTTAGATTCAGCTTTCAGACTGCAAAGAAGTAGTAGTTGAATATATTCCTCAGTTTACTGAACAACTAAGGAAACATTTAAAAATAAGTTATTAAAGAATATTTAAGGTTTAATTGTATACATCTATCTAATAACCTCTCCGTTCAAACTGCACCCTCTTTATTGTTCCAACTGATTTAAGTCCTGACATCTCAAATCTCGGAAATGTAGAACCACTCTGTATGATCACAACGTTCGGTGTGAAAATACTTTCATTTTAATCAAAAGCAAACTAAAAAAAAATCCAGCAAAAACTTTTTCACACTTATTAATACACATAACATAAGAAATGGAAAATAGGCCGGAAAAATATAAAATTTGGTCCAAACACCCCCTCACCACAGCTTGTTTAGGGTTAAGTTTTTATATCATCATTTAAACTTCCTAATTAAAAGCAGGAAAGGAGGGGGGAAGGTTTAGCAAAACATGGTTGAAAACTTTCTAAGCATGATTGAACTTTTCAAGTTTTACTTTTTAATAGTTTGACACGAAACCAAATTAATAATGATATTACTACCTCTGGCTAAATACCGAAATCTTCTCTAAAGAGCATTTTTTTTGGAAATAGAGGGGGAGCCATAAAACAGTCACCTTTTTAATTTAAAATTTAGCTGTTTCTAATAAAGTGCACTCAATAGTTTTAAAAATTTTTTTAAATATTTCAAATACACCAATTACAAAATCGTCAGCGACATTTCTTATGTAAAAAAAACATTCTGCAGTTACCTTAAACTTAAACTTGTTCAATATCTAATTCCGACTTGAAGTTATTGAATTCCAGCTGTTCTATTGGAACCTTGGCAGATGTATTTTCTCAGTTGGTTTGCGGATTTCACAGAAATATTTATTTTATTTTTATTTGATGTCAGGAGAATAATAATCTTGAACACAACCTCTGTGAAATTAAATCAGGGTTCTCTCTCTTTCTCTGGTTCGGGAGAAAGGTTGGTTTTCCTAGGACGCATCTCCGCACTATACTTAGCTCCAGGAACCCTGTCTAACCTTGCCATTCTTAGAACTTGTAAACTCATTTACTCAGTGTCAAATACTACTTGATTTATTGTTATGAAAGTACATGGTGTCCCAATAAACGCTCTTTCAGATATTATATCATGTTTTGATTTTCACAAATTTGGGTATTGTTAAAGTTTATGAAACATTTCCGATCAATGGATACCAATTTAAAGTCTGAAATACAAAACTTAAAGAAGTTATGGCAGTTTGAAGTTTGCCATTTTTGCGGTTAAGTCGAAAACCAATATCGGCATATTGTGAAAGGTAAAAGAAAATTTTTCTTTGCATTCAAATCTATATTTTGATAATACAAATTACCAAATAGATATAAAAAATGATGAAAAATTAAAGAACTCACTAAACCAAGCCGAATGGCCAAATTGGTAAAATTTAAACTCTTCTTATTTACTTAATTTCGGAGAATACAACCCTTAAAATAATATCAATTGATCGCAAATGTTCCAAAGACATTCTATAATACCTAACAATGTAAAATTCGATCAGCACTGAGCGTTTTGGAGACACCATGTACAGTGTACAGTGTAAATAAAAAGCAAAAAGAGTTTAGAATTAGAAAATTTGAGTTTGCGCCAAAAACTTAGTTTTTTTTACAGCTTTGTACTTTCTAGCAGATTGGTTAGAAAGTCTAGGTTCTCTAGAAGTTATAGAAGTTAGGTTGGATAGTGGTCTAGGTTCTCTAGTAGATAGGTTGGATAGTGGTCTAGGTTCTCTAGTGGATAGGTTGGATAGTGGTCTAGGTTCTCTAGTAGATAGGTTGGATAGTGGTCTAGGTTCTCTGGGTAAGGGAATAACAGACCTATATATTGTCTCTACTGGAATACCAAAAGTCGAAGAAAAAACATTTTCAGGTAAGTTTAAAAATGAATCAAAAATTGAAATAATTTAAAATTTAAATTTAGATTTATCCGATCTGGAGGTGCTCGATTTAGAAAACGTGGTGTTTCCGTTGTTCAATGAAAGGCTCTTCAACAAGACATTTCACAACGTGTTCCCCCAGACATCAACCTTGAAGCTGCTGAGGGTCGTGAACAGTCACCTGGGCATAATCTACGGAACCTTCATCAAGTGTTTCGCAGAGACAATCATTATTGAAAATACAAGGATGAGTCTTGAATCTGACAATGCATTTGATCTTGAGGGAGTTTTTGTCAGGAATGAACATTATTCTTCAGAATTCATCTTTTAAAAGTTCTTTGTAATTTGTGAATATATACATTAAGAGGAATTTAACACTCGAGCTCTAATTTAGATTGTGCAAACCTCTGTTATCTATATAGAACTCAAAGTTTAAAATATTAAAGGTCTACGACGACATCAGGTAGATATGATATTAGTAAATTAAAGTTTGAGGCGAAGAAATGGTTCCTTTCTAAATAAATTTAAATACAGAGTTGACCACAAATGAAAAGACTTTAACGCGGTCTAAAACTCTTGTAAAGAAACAAAGTAAAGGTCAAATTTTGTCTTCTGACATTTATATTCTCTTTAATCGGCCTATTTAATAATTTTAATATAAAAACAGAATTAATTTCGTACATTCGTCTCTGAAGGACGAGACTTTAATGACGGTTGTACGGTATTTACACTGTCTGTACGGTATTTACACTGTCTGTACGGTATTTACACTGTCTGTACGGTATTTACACTGTCTGTACGGAATTTACACTGTCCTTACGGTATTTACACTGTCTGTACGGTATTTACACTGTCTGTTTCCTTATATTTATAACTTTCCACAACTGTAAACAGTATTTACACTGTCTGTTTCCTTTTATTTATAACTTCCCACAACTGTAAACAGTTTGTGCTTTATGCCAAATTATTAAATAAGTCCTTATAAGACTATGTCCAAGGCAGAAGATTTAATTCAACCAAGGAATCGCCATATTTTGAGATTTTCATCCTTTGTGGTTAACCCTGTATATAAGATAAGTGGTCTATCTAAATATTTTCATCTATTAGACCTTTATTTCTCTATTTAAATAAAGGAAAAATAATGTTAAAAAAGTTTAGTTTAATTGGGAACCAGATCGTAGGAAAGGTGAGGGAATCCCTGAAGGTTGTAACAAGAACCAGTTTACTCCTCCAGAACAATATCATAGAGGACAACTATATTAATACTATCAGGAGAACTTGCTTTATCTTTCACATCAAAATATTTTAAAGGGAATGTTTACGTATCTCAAGTGATCATCTGTTTGATGAACGACATGCCCGATTCGTAGCAATAAGGAAAATATAGCTTCGTTATTCTATTACAATTGATAATTTTCCATTGGGATTCAATTGCAAATCTAGTCAGCAGAGACATGAAGGAAATTCACAGATTTTATGTCTTTTCAAGATAGAAAAAACGATATCTTCCTCATTATTATTCAGATTTTTTTTAGGGTCATACTTAAAAATCTGTTTTTGTGATTTTTAGTGTAGGATTCTGTTTCTTGTTCTTGTTTCAACTAAGATTCTGGGTTTAATTGTGATTCTGGGTGGTTTTTTTTCTGGATCTTAAACACATTCTGGCAATTGTTCTTTTTCAAATTCAGGTTTTTGTAGTTTTTTTCTAACTTAGAACTCTTTTTTCTCTTACTTAGAACGCGGCTAAATTGTTCTGTTCTTGTTGTTTTTCTAAATTTTCTAGATTTTTTAGATTTTTTAAAGATTTTTATAGATTATTCTAGATTTTTCTAGATTTTCTAGATTTTTCTAGATTTTTCTAGATTTTTCAAAATTTTTCAAGAATTTTCCATATTCAAATCACTAATGAATCTTGAACATTTCTCAGAATATGAAGAAGTTCTTTTATAGTCTGATTTTTCCGCAGGAAGAAATAGAAAGGGTTGTGATCAGGGAGAGTAGACTTACTCAGGGTACATCAAACTACATAAACCTAAACTCCAGGTAGAACTCATAACACTGTAAGATCTTGCTCAGGGTACATCAAACTACATAAACCTAAAGTCCAGGTAGAACTTATAACACTATCAGATCTTACTCAGGGTACATCAAACTACATGAACCTAAACTCCAGGTAGAACTCATAACACTATCCGATCTTACTCAGGGAACATCAAACTACATAAACCTAAACTCAAGGTAGATCTCATAACGCTATCAGATCTTACCCTAATTTCTCGTTTTCTTATTTTTTTTTTTTATCCAAGATATTAATTCATAGACATCATGAACCTATCATTTAATAAAATGCAAAATGGCGAAGTTCATTGCATTATACAAATAAACCTCTCCTTCTTCATCTATTTTCATATTTTTGTAAAGATATCCTCCTATCCTACTTCTCTCCTCCTACACCTGTAAACCTACTTCTCTCCTCCTACACCTGTAAACCAACTTCTCTCCTCCTACACCTGTAAACCAACTTCTCTCCTCCTACACCTATAAACCTAATTCTCTCCTCCTACACCTGTAAACCTACTTTTCTCCTTCTACACCTGTAAACCTACTTTTATCATCTAAACCTATTTCTTTGCTCCTATTCTTGCAAATCTGTAAACCTACTTCTTTTCTTTCATTCTTGTAAATCTGGAAACCTTCTTCTATTCTCCTATTTTTGTAAAACTTGTAAACCTACTATTAATAACTGAATAAAACTACAGAAAAAGTGTAAATTTCAGATTTAGGAATGATTTTTAAGAGATTGAAAAACAATAGTTTTAGAAAAAATCTACCCCTGTATACATTCTGAAGGTTATTTTGTAATTTAATTTCCGTTCTTCTTTATCAGTGTGGGAGTTTAAACTATTTATTGACAAAAGTCAATACTTGTGGCTTTTAGAAATTCATGGAGACTATCAAACCTTTAAATTTCTTTGAAAACTTAAAACCTCGAAATTTTTCTAAATGATGTAATATTCTTTTATATTAAAGTACAATAGAAATGAAGTAAAATTTTAGTTCCATTTTGAAATCTTTGAACATGTTTGTTTTATGCAAAAGTTCTTGCAAAGATCACATTTTCCTTGTATGCCCTGAGCAGGCAACTTTTGAAGGTTGAGTATAGTTTAAATAGGTATAATTCTAGCTCTGTAATCTCTCAATTATAGCTAGTTCAACTCTACGTAGTTCATCTACATCACACTTAATTTATAAAATTTGGTTCTCTTCCATGTTTTAAGTTTTCAACACAGGGGGACCTACAAAACATTTTTTTGGAATAATTTGAATTGAATTTGAAACTTCTTGCAGTTTTCTTTCAACAAAATGTAATATATTTTATATTTATAACAGTGTAATGGAAATAAAGAAAAAATCCTGCATATCTAAAAAGTCACTATATAGATTATAGAACCAAAGAAACATTTTTTTCATAAGATAAAAAAGGGTTTTTGTATAATATATTATTTTATGGCGTTTCAGGTTGTACACTACAAGGAAATTGAAAACACGTCAAATAGTAAAATCTAAGATTATAAAATTTCGTATTTTCATAGTTAAGGGACCGTGCACATGTACCGCGTACAGTTAGACTTTTTACCCTGGATAATTATAAAAAAATGAGCAATCGAAAAAATTCACTCACTATTCACAATTTTTCTTTAAACCCATTTTTTTCTTAGTTATCTAGAGATATCCGATTCTGTTCTACATCTAGTCGATGCAAACATGATCAGAGCTGTTGTTAATGTATTCAAATTCAGGTAACTACTCGATATAATGTAATTCGAATCAGATATGAAATATCAAGATTCTACTTGATTGGCAGAACTGCCAATATAATATCAGAAATACTAAGAAGTCAATTTATAAAAACTCTCGTTTTCTAATCCCTACATCTTTGCAACCGAATTTTATATATCAAAGTTTTTTACCATCATTGTGCAATGATATAGGGATTAAAATTTTAATTATTGGCAAAGACTCAAAGTATGATTTGACTAAAATTATGTTGGTCTTTCTTTAGATCTAATTTCAAATCTTTCTATGGTTTATAGGGATACCCATGGTCAAGTTTTTTTCTTGAGACAACGGTGCAACACAAAACGTTGGGGTACATAACTTTTAACCAATCTTAAGCAAAACAATATAAGTGATAGAACTCAATAACAAACTGGGAATAGGTTTATCAATGTATCGTTTTATTTTGTATGCGTGAGCTTGTGCTTACACCCCTTACTCAAAATGAATTAATAAATAAATAATAAAATAAATAAAAATTTCAAATACCTCTCTTTGCTCTAATAAAGCAAAAAACTTTTTTTTCAATATAAAGTTCCACATTTTGACATTTTCCGAAGAAAACACATTAAAAAGTGTTGTTCGGAATTGAGAAAATTTGCAATAACATAAAGTGGATATAGCGTTTATATAAATACAAAGAAGACGACTTTTCTCATTAACTTTTGATTTCTAATAAGCTTTTTTTCTAATTACAAGTGTACATCTAAACACAGTTGATTGGCAGCAGTTTCCATGTTATTTTTCAATCATGCTGTTTGAAAGCTTTGAAGAAATAAAAAATTTAAATAAAAGAATCGTCTTCATTGTATTGATATATACGACGACCACTGTAAAACATTTTTTGTTTTTACATTTACTTTAGTATTTATATACTTTCAAACTAAATAAATTCAACGGATTTCGTGTCCTTCCCCTCATAAACACAAACACATCCATTTTTTAATGTATTGTATTGTATTGTATTGTATTGTATTATATATATATTATATATATATTATAGGGACAACGTAATCAAAAGCTTTGAAACAGACACCTTGAATTTAAGGTTAGATTTTTTTAAATATTGATAAAAAGAAAAAATGAGTAATCTTACAGAGACTAAAACTTTTGGTTTAGATTGCGCTTAGCCGCATCCACTGAAGTTAATAATATCCACCGCGTAATCTTCTAAATTAAAGGATTTAAGTTAATTGCCGGGATATATGGAAAATCCCCCAAAGATGATTAAGAAATGAATTTAAGAGAGATTTTCTCCGACAAAATGAATTGAATCGCCAGAGAAAGTTTTAGAATAGAAAAGTTTAAACATTCGGGCGATCAAAAATATTTTTTTTTTCAGTGCAAGGAAAACAATTGAGATTTCAAACAACTTTTTTGAACACATCCAGCCTGGATCCCTGAACAACCTGAAGCTCCTCCCCCAGACCAACATGGTGAACCCCGCCTTCACCCTCGCCAACAACACCTTCGAGAGCATGGAGGACGGGTTCATGAAGCTCGATATATCTGTTTTAATGAACTTGAATAGTACTATGTCAGATTTGTACTTTAATACAGATTGTTCCTGTACTCTAGGAAAATGAAGTAGAGGCCGCACCAAAAAAATGGAATGTCGTCGTAATTTTGATTGAGAGGCACGCCTGATTCACAACAGTAACCTTGACACCTTAATCTTATCAATTTTTTGGTAGCAACGTCGTTCTTCTGGCTTGAAAACTGTTTAATTCTGATAATTTCTCCGTTATTTCTAAAGAAATAAGTACGCAAACTACTTTTTTGCACAGAAACCAGAAATGAAAGCAAACCGTTTTCAAATACAAAAATATGGATATCTAATTTACACTTGATCAGACAAAGCTTTAGAGGGTAGAGTTGTGAATCGGACATGTCACTCTTTCATATTGAGGGTCACTTGAAATTACGTGTACAGTCCCTTTAATGAGCAAAATAACAACAAATGTCAAGTTGAAATTTAGAAAATTAAACTAAAATTCACTATATCTTTTTTTCAGTAATTATTTTTAAAATTGAAAACATGATGTTAGTAATCTTATAAAAGTTATATAAAATGCTTTAAAATATTTACCAGGCTGCAAAACTTTTCTGAAATGGTAAAATCTACTGATTATCTTGGTTTGTAGTGTCGGACGCTGTGCATAGTAAGATATTGAGTTTAGAGAGTTCAATGCCGCGAAGAAGATCGAAGAAGTATTCCAGTGTAGATGTTAAAGAAGCCTTAGACCGGCTCAAGAAGCTTCTAGAACCTGCAATACTTTGCAATGATCCTGGTAATGGCTAAATTTGAAGAAAAAGAAAATTAAGCATTTATTAACACGTTCAAATCGTTTCTCAATTTTTATTAAAGGAACTAAACACAAACTCTAATTTTCTAAACCTTTTATCCACGCATGCCTCATTATGTCCGATAGGGTTTGCCATGCTATATCTGATATTCAAAGTTTGAAATATCAAAGGATTAAATCCTCTAGTTGCAACAAAATAGGGAAGAGAATATTAAAGTTTATGGCAATGTTCTCAGTTTAAGAAAAACAAGAGGACACAATTTGAGTCCTAATTAGCCGGCTTACAGTGTTCAGCACAAAAAGTGTCGAAATTGTTAAAAAGCATGGTTGTAATGAAATAAAATAATAGGGGGAGTGAAAACAATATAGAGATGGCAACTTTTAAATGATCGGAATAATAAAGGGGGTATTCAGGAATTTGTCCAGGGGGGCTTGCATTTTTTTTCTAGGGAACTCAGTTCCCGTTGAAAATCATAGATTTCACTGATGAATTTCTGAAATTCTGAATACGCCTTCTGGCAATAAGGGAAACTAATTTGTCTCCAAGTGGGCAGATTAAGAGATCTCCTATGTCGGAGATTTTGCCAGAAAGATTGGATTATACCACTAATGGTTCGTACCTGTAAAGGTTTATATCTCAGATTCAACAGGATTTTAACCGATTTTATGAAAATAGGCTTAAAAGTGGTCATGCACCAGTGACCAATGTTCCAGTATAGTACGTGTAGAGCTCTGGGAAGGGGGGGGGATAATTGTGTGGATGGCATGTAAAATAGAAGATAGTAAGCTTAACCCTATCCCTGCTGGGGTACTTGAAAACCAGAATATGCTGGGGGGGAGTTTGTGTGAATATCTATATATATCTGGAGAATGTTGTGGACAGGGAAGAATGGATGTATGGGGGATATCTTCATACATTTAATCTGAGCCAACATCATGCTGCTCAACAGTTTTATACCCGGCCTAGTTCACAACTACAGTTTATACACCAATAAATGTTTTATATTTGTAAAAAACAAAGGCTCATTGGTTAATTGCTTGATTAATTGATTGAATATATGGTGTTAGAGTGATCAATTGATTGTTTGGATGATGTTAGATTGTTTAATTGATTGTTTAGATGGTGTTAGATTGATCAATTGATTGATTAGATGGTGTTAGATTGATCAATTGATTGTTAGGATGATGTTATATTGATTAATTGATTGATTAGATGGTGTTAAATTGATCAATTGATTGTTTAAATGGTGTTAGATTGATCAATTGATTGTTTAAATGGTTTCATATTGATCAATTGATTGTTTGTAGGATGCTAGATTGATAAATTGATTGTTAGGATGATGTTGGATTGATTAATTGATTGTTTTAGATGGTGGTATAGTAAACCTGGAGATGAGTGGGATTTGTAAACCTGATTATCTTGCAATTATTATAGGGGTCGTCTTTGCTATTCTCAGGTACTCTTGGTAGACTTGGTAGACTAGGTGGACTTGGTAAGCTTGGTAGACTAGGTAGACTATGTGGACTAGGTAGACTAGGTAGACTAGGTAGACTATGTGGACTAGGTAGACTATGTGGACTTGGTAGACTAGGTAGACTGGGTAGACTAAGTAGACTAGATAGAATAGGTGGACTAGCTAGACTAGGAAGACTAGGTAGACTATGTAGATTATGTAGAATAGGTAGACTAGCTAGACTAGGAAGACTAGGTAGACTATGTAGATTATGTAGAATAGGTAGACTAAGTAGACTAGATAGAATAGGTGGACTAGCTAGACTAGGAAGACTAGGTAGACTATGTAGATTATGTAGAATAGGTAGACTAGGTAGACTAGGTAGACTAGGTAGACTAGTTAGACTAGGTAGACTAGAGAGAATAGGTGGACTAGCTAGACTAGGTAGACTAGGTAGACTATGTAGATTAGGTAGACTAGGTAGACTAGGTAGAATAGGTGGACTAGCTAGAACTAGGTAGACTAGGTAGACTAGGTAGACTAGGTAGACTAGATAGAATAGGTGGACTAGCTAGACTAGGTAGACTAGGTAGACTATGTAGATTAGGTAGACTAGGTAGACTAGGTAGAATAGGTGGACTAGCTAGACTAGGTAGACTAGGTAGACTAGGTAGACTAGGTAGACTAGATAGACTAGGTAGACTAGATAGAATAGGTGGACTAGCTAGACCAGGTAGACTAGGTAGACTATGTAGCTTAGGTAGACTAGGTAGACTAGGTAGACTAGGTAGACTAGGTAGACTAGGTAGACAGGTAGACTAGATATACTGGGTAGACTAGGTAGACTAGGTAGACTAGGTAGACAGGTAGACTAGATATACTGGGTAGACTAGGTAGACTAGGTAGACTAGATATACTGGGTAGACTAGGTAGACTGGTAGACTAGATATACTGGGTAGACTAGGTAGACTAGATATACTGGGTAGACTAGGTAGACTAGATATACTGGGTATGAAAACTATGAAAATTATTAAAACTATTAAAACTATAAAACTATCAAATCTATTAAAACTATGAAAGCTATTAAAACTATGAAAACTATTAAAACTGCGAAAAATATGAAAACTATTAAAATTATTAAAGCTATGAAAACTATTAATAGTATTAAAACTATTAAAATCATGTAATGTTTAGTGTTGTAGTTCTAGGATGGGGTCTAGTCTGTGTTAATGATAAACTTAAGGAAGAGCACCCAATCTGTGGTTAATTTCAAGGTTTAACATTGGTTTCTCCCCCCTACTCTCCTTGACTCTTCCCCCCCTCTCCAATACATCATCATCCTTCATACTTAATCAACAACATCCATACTTCACTCATCAGCTCTAAACTCCAGTTTAATCCTCATATTTAATCCATACTTCACTCATCAACTCTAAACTCCAGTTCAATCCACATATTTTATTCATACTTCTCTCATCAGCTCTAAACTCCAGTTAAATCCTCATATTTAATCCATACTTCACTCATCAACTATAAACTCCAGTTCAATCCACATCTTTTATTCATACTTCTCTCATCAGCTCTAATCTCCAGTTAAATCCTCATATTTAATTCATATTTCACTCATCAACTCTAAACTCCAGTTTAATCCACATATTTTATTCATACTTCTCTCATCAGCTCTAAACTCCAGTTAAATCCTCATATTTAATTCATATTTCACTCATCAACTCTAAACTCCAGTTTAATCCACATATTTAATCCATACTTTACTAATCAGCTCTAAACTCCAGTTTAATCCTCATATTTAATCCATAGTTCACTCATCAACTCTAAACTCAAGTTTAATCCACATATTTAATCCATACTTCACTCATCAACTCTAAACTCAAGTTTAATCCACATATTTAAACCATACATCTCTTATCTACTCTAAACTCTACAATCATTTTCATATTTAATATATGTACAGGTTTTCAACGCAATTATTTAGTCCTGGGGCGAAATGAACTGAGTTTTGGCCACAAAATCTGATTTACAAATCACTATATCTTCGCAACCTAATGTAGACCTGAGATATTTCAAACTATGAATTCTGATAGATAAAATAATCAAAGTTTGAAATATCAAAAGTTTACTGAATTTCGTTGTACGCTTTTGAAAATTGATCAAGAAGATCAAAAGGAATCGTACCTATAACATTTTCGATTGGTTTCGATTGGTTGGTTTCCCGTAAACCGTCTCAACTTCTCAAACTACGGGGTTGTCCACAAGGGATGAGATTTTATTTGTTTCGATCTTCATTTAGCATCTCAATGAAAGACTAGTTATATATATATTAAATTCAAGGTCAAGATCAAATTCCATCTTGAAATTTTACCCTTAAATGGTCGTTATCATTTATATTAAAGTCTCATCCTGTATTTATTTTAACACTGTTTATCTGACTTAACACCTTATATATATATATATATCCTCATATTTTGAATCAATCACCCTGTCTAAGGTTGGACAAGTCTTGCATACAGATAAACCGTAGGTCTGTTTCCTCCATTACCCCGTCCCCGTTGGTTTCCTTAACAAATTACCCCCCCCCCCATCACACATCTTCAAGTCATTAAGTAACAGGGTTCAAGTTCAGAGAAATAACTTGACTTTTGTTTTAATTTCAGATCGGTACTGTTGTATCATATTGAACCTTAACTCTGTATCCATTGTTGAAACTTTTAATTTGAAGAGATCAATCTTTGATTATGAATCTGGCTTGCATTTGTCGAATCTCTTATTGGCCGAGATCACATTTTTGTATTTACAAAGAGTTTGATTTAATCTGCAGATTAGCCTAAAATATTTTTTATATGTCAAATTTTTTGATCTAATTAATTTATGAAAGATCTTTCATGAATAAAGTTGTATATTCTAATCTTCAAACATCTCTGAACAAAACAAATATTGGTGTTTACACTCCTAGGAAAGAGCATTGAAACAATTTATTATTCCTCTCTCTCCATCTAAGTAAGTTAAACAACAACAACAAATTTCAAAAATTAAATAAAGTATTAAAAATTAAAAATTAAAATAATTTTAATAAAACCAGTTTTTTGCAGGTTTAGACTTAATTTGAAATAAACTTGATTTTAATTTAATTACAATAAACTGCTGATGTACCCTTTAAACCTTTATATGAGACTGATATACAAAGATCGTTTTTTATCTGAAATCAGCCATGGTTTTGGCGGGAAAATCAAATTGTTTATTTTCACAAAATAATCTGTGGACCGGTTGTAAACTCATTGATATACAGGGTAACCCAGAAAAGATGAGACTTTAATGTCGACCTTAAACGCTTTTAAACTAACTAAATATTATCATTGAAGATTATTTCGCAAAAAATACAAACAAAGATAAAGGATTAAAATGAGCTAAGAAAGAATTATGTTTGCTATCTGAAATATTATTATAACTGCTGGTAATCATATAAATGTAGACAAGAGGGCTAATTAAATATTCTGTACAGTCCAGTCTCATCATTTGTGGGTAACCCTGTATGTCTTTTTAATAGTTTAGGTTTTACTGTTCAATTGTCAATCTGTTAGAATTAAAAGTTATTTAAAATTACGATGCAAAAGTTTTTACTTATTAAAAATATTAATTTTGCTCTTAAAAATATTTAGAGAAGGAGAGTTTGAACTTCAAACTGCTGAAAGCTTTAAATGTTCTCTACCTGACCTGATCAGATCAATGACCTTGGACAGGTCAGTCTTAATCCAGAGATTAAACTTGGTCATAGCTTCGTTAAACTTAGTCAAAGGAATTTATAATTTTCATAATCCCTATCTCTGCGACCCAATGCCGTGGACCTTTGATATTTCAAACTATAAATTCTGTTAGATTAAACAATCTAAGTTTCAAAGTATCAAAGGTTTACACCATCAGTTTTGAAAAATAAAGAGACATAGAAAATTTGTGTCCGTGTCAAAAACTCAATACCTTTGGGCAAAGTTGATCAAACACGATTTGATTATAATTGGTCCAACTTGGTCAAGTTTGATCAAATTTGGTCAAGAAAGGTCAGATTTTGTCAACCTGTGGCGGCTATGAAAGTCGTCTCTTCTAGAAACTCCTCTATTCTTCTCCCTGCCGCGAAAGGTTCTTCCTAGAAAAGACGACTTTCATAGCCGCCACAAACCATGGGCAAAATTGGTCACAACTGGACACACTTGGTAAATTTTGGTCACAATTGGCAAATTTTGGTAAAATTTGGCCAAATCTTGTTAATCTTGGTGAAACTAAGCTATATTAATATCTATAGAATCCTTGAACAGTATCTTCAGAGTGGAATACACAGTTAACAGCGGTTACCTTAAAATTTTATCTTAACAAGTGTTTAACTTTTAAATTTAAATTTATTACTCATACAGTTTTACTCAGAGAAAAGTTTATAGGATGCCGTTGTTCATTGAATTTACGCTTACACTCCCTTTACAATAGAATAAGATTTATCAGGCTAATTACTATATAGAAAAGTGTGGAAAATTACACCATCAGGTTGCAAAGATATACGGATTAAAGTATGATTGTAGCAAAGACTCGGTTTCTTTGTAGACAAAAATATAAAAATTACGATGATGATGTTTCAGGGAACAATCTGAATATGATCATGTTTCAGGGAACAATCAGAATATGATGATGTTTCAGGGAACAATCAGAATATGATCATGTTTCAGGGAACAATCAGAATATGATCATGTTTCAGGGAACAATCAGAATATGATCATGTTTCAGGGAACAATCAGAATATGATCATGTTTCAGGGAACAATCAGAATATGATCATGTTTCAGGGAACAATCTGAATATGATCATGTTTCAGGGAACAATCTGAATATGATCATGTTTCAGGGAACAATCAGAATATGATGATGTTTCAGGGAACAATCAGAATATGATCATGTTTCAGGGAACAATCAGAATATGATCATGTTTCAGGGAACAATCTGAATATGATCATGTTTCAGGGAACAATCAGAATATGATCATGTTTCAGGGAACAATCAGAATATGATCATGTTTCAGGGAACAATCTGAATATGATCATGTTTCAGGGAACAATCTGAATATGATCATGTTTCAGGGAACAATCTGAATATGATCATGTTTCAGGGAACACTCAGAATATGATCATGTCTCAGGGAACAATCAGAATATGATCATGTTTCAGGGAACAATCTGAATATGATCTCCAGAGTTTAGATGATTGAAAGGTTTGATATTCTTCATAAACTGTGATATCTCATATTTTGTGATTATATAACTAAATGTAAAAAAGCAAAATAAAGATAGATATGGAAAACAAAGAGAAAACTGTTGATTATTTCTTAATTTCACAATTAGATATTGTATCCTCTGTATCCTAGCTTGTATCTCCCAGTTTCCCTTCTGTATCCTACTGTATCCTATTGTATTCTCTAGAATTATACTGCAGTATCCATCTGTAACCTCAATATTCCTGTATCCTCCTTTTTCTGTCAGTATTCCCATTTATGCTTTATGTAACACTCTGTATTAACTAATATTGTGTCTTCAGTATCATTGTTGTTGTATCCCAGTATCACTGTACATTTATTATTGTATCCATCTATCATAGTATTAATGTATATTTAGCATTGTATCCATCTATCCTGGTATAAATGTATATTTAGCATTGCATCCATCTATCCTGGTATAAATGTATATTTATTATTGTATCCGTCTATCCTGGTATAAATGTATATTTATTATTGTATCCATCTATCCTGGTATAAATGTATATTTATTATTGCATCCATCTATCCTGGTATAAATGTATATTTATTATTGTATCCATCTATTCTGGTATAAATGTATATTTATTATTGTATCCATCTATCCTGGTATAAATGTATATTTAGCATTGTATCCATCTATCTTGGTATAAATGTATATTTATTATTCTATCCATCTATCCTGGCATAAATTTACTCTCATCACTCGTTAAAGTCTCGTGTTGTTTGAACTAATTTCACTGCAAAAACTATTTTTCATTTTCTTCAAGAATTTCAAATTCTGATGGTTTATTAACGAGTGTAATACCTTTTATGCAAAATCATTCATATTCAAAACCTGCATTCACTTTTCATAAAATGTTTGAATTCAATAAAAACCAAATTGCAAGAAATCAGTAGAAGTATGAAAACCAAAATGAATTTATTGAAATTCTTTTCAGATGTTTTGCTTTCACAATCATTGAAGTCTTTATACTTCATTGAAGAGAAAAATAGTGTTTTCAAATATAGGATACAAGATATTTTATACTTTAAACCTGTAGACCTTCCAGAGCGAATTTAATGATTATATGCTAGGTTTAGTGACGGTTATTTTGATATCCTGATATCCTGATATTTTGATATCCTGACATCCTGATATCCTGATATTTTGATATCCTGATATCCTGATACACTGATATCTTGATATCCTGATATACTGATATCCTGATATCCTGATATCCTCATATCCTGATATCCTGATATCCTGATATCCTGATATCCTGATATACTGATATCCTGATATCCTGATATACTGATATCCTGATATCCTAGTATTCTGATATCCTGATATCCTAGTATCCTGATATCCTGATATCCTAATTTTCTGGTATCCTGGTATCTTGGTATCCTGGTATCCTAGTATCCTGATATCATGATATCATGATATTCTGGTATCCTGGTATCCTGGTATTCCTGATATCCTGGTATCCTGGTATTCTGGTATCCTGATATCCTGGTATCCTTGTATCCTGGTATTCTGTTATCCAGATATCCTTGTATCCTGATATCATGATGTCATGATTTCATGATATCCTGATATCCTGGTATCCTGGTATCCTGGTATCTTGCATGTTCTCCGGGTATAAACTTGTACAAGCTCTGGGTTGACACCCCTGATTGACGGAACCTGGTGTGGTTAAATGTGAAAGGTGTGGTTAATAGGTTGGTTGGCAGTATCAGATATATTCTAATTTTAAACTCTCCCTGACACCATGTCGTCATACCGCCCCTCTAATCTTGTCACACATATTCACTTTCTATCTAGTTCCTATTACTTGTTTGCCTACTCTCCGCGTCGTCATTCTCCAATAAAGCATTCCCGTCTTCTAAACAATCTGAGATCTTATACAGGGTGTCCCCATAAACATTGGAATTCAGTGACGAATTCGATATCGTCTTTTCAAATAATTCTTTGATTTATGTAGTATAGTGATACCTACTGAGAAAGCTGTAATCTGTAAGAGTTTCGTCTGCTATGTTCACATTTTGTTTGTTTATGTTCTGTCTGCATACAGTTGTACTTAGAAAAACAAGAAAATTGCAGTATACAAACAGAGTAAACTTGTCCGTATTCACTGTTCATCTTGCGGATATATTATTGACACATCTTTACACCCTTTTACCGTTTTCATAAAATAAATCCTAGCAGACATTATAATATTATGGCTTTTGAAATTAGGTATTACAATGCTAATTCATAACAAAGACGATATCGAATTCGTCACTGAATTTCCATGTTTTTTGGGACACCTTGTATTTATGAATATAGGTTTGTCGTCTGTTGTAATGAACTGGTTAAATTGTTCTGTACATTGTACATGCCCTGTTAGTACGATTTTTAGGAAGGGGTTGAGGTGGGATTAGATAAGGTGATATCGGGAATAGGTCCTATTAGTAAGAAGTTTTAGGAAGTGGTTGAGTTGGGGTTAGGAAGGGTGAGGTGCCGTTAAGAAAGGGTTTTGTGAGCTGATGTTCAGAAAGTATCGTTAAGTTAATGTCAGGAAAGGGAAAGGCAAGTTCGCTGGTGTTAGGAAGGGGTTGCAGAGTTGTAATTAGGAAAGGATTGGTGAACTTTTGTTCGGAGAGGACAATTAAGCTTTTTAGGATAGGGTCAGTGAGGTTCTGTTGGGAATGTGTTCGCGAGACTGAGCTGCTGTTAGGAAAGAGTAGATTAGCTGCTAGTAGAAAAGGGTAATTCAGCTGCTGTTAGGAAAGGGTATGTAAGCTGCTGTTAGGAAAGGATGATTAAGCTGCTGTTATGAAAGAGTAAGTAAGCTCCTGTTAGGAAATGTTAATTAAGATTCTGTTAGGAAAGGGTAATAAAGCTGCTGTTAGGAAAGGGTTGTAAGCTTCTGTTAGGAAAGGGTATTAAAGCTTCTCTCAGGAAGATTAATGTAAGCTTTAGTCAGGAAAGGGTATGTACTATGTAAGATGTTGTCAGGAAGATGAATGTAAACTGTTGTCAGGAAAGGGTATGTACTGTGTAAGCTGCTGTAAGGAAGATATAGGAAAGGGTATGTACTATGTAAGCTGCTGTCAGGAAGATGTATGTAGACTGCAGTCAGGAAAGGGTATGTGCTATGTAAGCTGCTGTCAGAAAGATGTATGTAAGCTTCAGTCAGGAAAGGGTATGTACTTTATAAGCTGCTGTCAGGAAGATGTATGTAAGCTACAGTCAGGAAAGAGTGTGTACTATGTAAGCTGCTGTCAGGAAGATGTATGTAAGCTGCAGTCAGGCAGGGGCATGTACTATGTAAGCTGCTGTCAGGAAGGGGTTGGTTGGTTTAATCAGAAGTTTGATTTATAGTATATAACCTGTCATCAAACGTGCAGTAAATAAAGTATACCTGGAAACCATTCCTCATCTCTCATCCGCCCTTCGTCCTCATCCATCTCATTTACTTTAATTTGATTAACATTGTTATCAATGCAATCCTTCTATTTTTTATTTTTGAAATAAATTTCATTCCTTTCAAAAAATGTTAGTAAATTAAATATCACTAATATCTGATATCACTTGAGTTAAATATTTTATTTGAATCCAATCTTCATATTAATCTTTGATTCATTATTTCATTCATTAAATATATCTTTTCTTTGTATTTTTCAAAATATTTAATATCCTTCTCATTTCCCTCCCTTTCTTTCATTGAAGTTATTTTTTCATCAGTTCCTTCCTTCTGTATCTTCTCATCCGTCCCTTCCTTCTGTATCTTCTCATCCGTTCCTTCCTTCTGTATCTTCTCATCCGTCCCTTCCTTCTGTATCTTTTTTATTCGTTCCTTCCTTCTGCATCTTCTCATCCGTCCCTTTCTTCTGTATCTTCTCATTCGTCCCGTCCTTCTGTATCTTCTCATCCGTCCCGTCCTTCTGTATCTTCTCATCCGTCCCTTCCTTCTGTATCTTCTCATTCGTCCCGTCCTTCTGTATCTTCTCATCCGTCCCTTTCTTCTGTATCTTTTCATAAATTCCTTCTTTCTGTATCTTCTCATCCGTCCCTTTCTTCTTTATCTTCTCATTCGTCCCGTCCTTCTGTATCTTCTCATCCGTCCCTTTCTTCCGTATCTTCTCATTCGTCCCTTTCTTCTGTATCTTTTCATCCGTCCCATCCTTCTGTATCTTCTCATCCGTCCCATCCTTTTGTATCTTCTCATCCGTCCCATCCTTCTGTATCTTCTCATCAGTTCCTTTCTTTTGAATCTTTTCATCATTTCGTTCCTTCTGTATCTAATTATTTGTCCCATCGTTCTTTACATTATCATATGTTCCATCCTTCTGTACCTTCTCATCCGTTCCTTTCTTCTGTATCTACTCATCAGTTCCTTCCATCTGTATCTTCTCATCCTTCCCATCCACCTATATCTCCATTGGTCCTGGGATAATTTGTGTCTCCAACCCTGTGGTAAGCCTGGAGCTAAAATAAGGGTATTCAGAGCTTGGTTTAGAATTTCATTAACATTTAAAAATAATTACAAATTGTGAAACGATCCATAAAGTAGTCTGTATTCAGTGGAATAGTTATGTTTCTTCCTGTTTATATAACAGAATATACTTAGTATAAAGTTTCTCCCAAATCTATCGATTTTTATCTCCTTGAGCAAAAGAAGAAAGATAATGAATGAAATATGGTTCAACATTAAACCCTAGACTTTCAAATATTTCAAACCATTAAAGAAATGCATTTCAAAATAATTGGTCGAGTTCTTTTACAAATGTTTCTTAAACTATGGATTGCTAAACTCATTAAACAAAATCTAAGAATTTGAACTAGAAAATGAATGTACATTACACAGGGTTTGCAGGAAAGAATAA